AATGTGACACTTAAGTAGATTTATGATGCCTCAGCTTCTCCATTAATGACCTGGACACAAATATTAGTCATTTTCACTGCTGAGATATTGTGTAAAAATTGAATATAGCTTCATGGCTTGCAGTCCTATGCCTCAGTCTCTGTTCTATCAATCAGTTCAGACAGCTGAGGCTTCAGACGCGACGGACAGATGAGTCACTGTTACACCACAGAGACGACACACTCAGTCAGCCGCTCACTGAGGAACAATGAGTTGTTTCACTACAGTCTAAATTATATCAGCCAAGGTCTCCTATTGTGCTTCAGATGATCCTCAGTCTGCTGTGAGACTGTTGTACTCTCTAATTTCTGTCTTTTCTGCTGTTATCAGTAATGAAAGAAGTATGTCTACAACTATGTAAAAAATACAAGTAAATGTCCTGTGTTCAAAATCTTATGTAAATGTACATAAGTATTAATATCCATATGCACCTAAAGCATCAAAAGTAAAAGCATTCATTACACAGAATGGCCAATTTCACACCATAATAATTAGTAAGATTACTATCACTGATGCATTAATGTGTGAGCAGCAATGTCGTTATAGGTGGTTGAGGTGATTTCAAACACTTTAAAATGTTGGGTGGTTAAATATACCAGACTTAGACCAGATATTTCTGTCTTAAACGTCTAAAAACCTTATTTGCAGTGTAGTTTTTAATTAAATTAAAAACATGTTCTGAAGCTAACATCTGCATCTTGAAACAATACAAAATAAGGTAGGTTCTTGCACTAGAATTACTAAAGGTTGATTTTAGAAAAATGTTAGAAGTTAATTTGCTTTTAAACTGGTTGAAATATTTCTTTCTAAATTCTTACCCACATTTCTTTTTTGCTTGGTAAGACAACAAAAAGCTGCATATAATTTGTATGAAAAGTAAAAGGCAAAATACTCAAAGTCACTGGCTGTCAGATAAACAGGTAGTTAAAAATAAGAAGTACAATATTTCCCTCTGAAATGTTGTGAAGTAGAGATGTAGAGCAGCAGAAACTGAATACAGTACTTGAGTAAATGTACTGAGTTGTTTGCAACTGTTGTGAGGCTTAAAAAAATACTTTAGATCACATCCAGCAGTTGAAGCATATGTTTCTGTGTGGCTAAATCAGGCTGTCAAATTCTAACTATAATGAGGATGGTGAGCCTGAATATGCAGTAGCAGTCAAAGCAGCATGTTTATATTAATAACTGGCCTTGTGCATATGGCCTTGTTAAAATGAAAATGCAGGATCTACAACTAGTGATATGGGAATAGTGCTGTAGCTTATGCTGATTATGGTGAATTATTAAAAGCTGTATAATTTGAAGCCTAGAGAAGCCATGATTCAGTAATTCATTGCAGCTACAGCAGATGTTCATATTAGCTTTGTCTGGTTGAAATAAAATCTGCACAGACAACTACTGCGATTACATTCAGAAATAATTACATTGCCACAGCCAGGATTTTAGAAATAGGAGGGTTACAAGCACAAAGTCACCAACAGCCACCTAACACTGTTTTTTTTTTCCTTTTCTTTTTTTTTTGGATTATTGGATTGGATTGTCTAAAACTACAGCCATGCTGGCATCTCTGTATGGCAGTAAAGTTGGTATAAGATTTACCATGTTCACCGTCTTAGTGTAGCCTGTTAGCATGCTAACATTTGCTAATTAGCACTAAACACAAAGTACAGCCGTGGCTGATAGAAAAAGTCTTTAGTTTTGCAGGTATCTGCCTATAAACCATCATATCTGACTAATTAAAAATTTGATTTGATGAGGTGCTCAAATCAAAGTTTGAGGATCATAAAAATTCCAACAATTCATCTTTGAGGGTCTTGACTATCTCTAGTAAATTAACTCAAATCAAGTTCATCCTCTGGGGATCATGAATACAAAATGTACAATCTGTACAAAATTTAGCTGTTGAGCTATTTCAGTGTAAACTAAAGCAATGAACGGACTGACAAAACTAACATCCCCGTCAACAGAGCCGTGCTGTTAGCATGGCAATACATGCCCAATATTAGGTGGTTTCAGCCTATAGAATGAGGATTTAATGCTTTTTTCTGTTTTACATAAATGCCATGTTGGGCTTGAGGAAATGAACGTTTTTTTCACTAATTCCTAACATTTTATCTCAACATTAATTCACCAATCAAAAACACAAATAAAAAAAAAAAAAAGCAGTTGTTGCAGCTCACCAGTGTCAGATGATTCCTGTTGAGTTGGCATCATCTGAATGTCATCTCCTCAAACTTCATCAGCGCTGTTCGTTCTGCATGGCCTGCACCGCTGGAGCCTGGCCTGCTCCGATGCTCAGGATGATGCAAATGGCTCTGCTTACTGCTTTAATGATAGATGATAATATCCTGCTGCTGGTGAGGGATGTGTTTACTTTTAGCGCTTGACTATGCCGTGGAAATCATGTGCATTTGTACTCACATTAACACAGTGAGAAAAAGGGGGGGGGGGGGGGGGAAAAAAAAAATTTTTTTTTTTTTTTTTTTGATGGGAGAAAATAGTGTGTGCAGTGTATAATTTGGACCCATCACTCGTGCATCTCCACAGTGGTTGGCCTGTCATCGTCTCTGTGGGTAATGGAATTCATTGTGGAGACCACTCTGGAGGTCCCTCAGAAGTGTGGGCACAAGACAAATAGCACTCATCAATATCTGCCTGCTGCTCTGTAGCCACAGCAAATGAGAATGAATGACAGAACGTCTCTTTGACATCTGAGGACATCTCCTGGGGAAAATGGCTGAGCAGAATGAACGTCAAGAAGCATTTGGATGACGAAACGCTGCAGCCTGTTCATGTGAAAACATCTCTTGAGACGTCTCCAGGCATAATTAAAAAAACAGATGTTTATGAGAAAAGTTCGCCTGATTTTAAAGTAAATGTGCATGATGAATATTGTGTGTATCAAATTTCAACAAAAACAGTAACATGAGCTCATTTTTTTCAATTTTAATATCAGTCTTGGGGCATTAAATTATTTGAAAAGTCAGATTACAGATTGCACTCAGAACAAAAACACCTTTCTCCTCCTACAATCATTTACCCCTGAACTTTTATTCTTTTTCTTAAAATTGAAATGTCACATTTAATCTATTATGGCAGAAAAGCATTGTTGCACTGATCTCTGTGGGTTGAAAATGTCAACTCTGCTGCACTCATGACAACAATCAACATCACTGCTGTGAGCGGTCTGATAGATGTCTGACCACATCCAACAGTGATACTATACTGCACTGTTGTGTAGGGGTGAGAGTCAAGAAGGTAAATCACAAGACAAAACTGACAGGATACCTTCACTGCCCATGATAACGATGGACAGGACAGAGTCATCTGATACAGCGAGTGCGGAGACGACAAATTGAGATTAGTCGACATTTAAAGATCGTGGAGAATTTTGACAATTTATTTGTTTCTGGTTCCAGCTTCTAAATAGTTAGTTAGTTTTATATCACTGTAAATATCATTATATTTTTTGGACCATTTGTCAGACATAATCAGCAACTTGAAGACTTCAATTTAAATGCAACACACATGTAGCACTGCATCATCTGAGTTGCCATACAGACAGAGGTCAATGTATGAGAGCTAGGACGTGCTGATTGTAGTATCATAAATTCTCATTGTGACTTCGCCATGAGATAGACCACATTCTGAGCCTCGACTAATCACAGCTTGCCCTCTTTCACAACCTGCGTACAACAGCGTAAACGTCCGAAGCGGTGTGATACTGTCACGTTTGGAAAAAGTAAAAAAAAGTAAAAAAAAAAACATCAAGAAAGCAGGGATGTTGTTGCCATAGCTGTACAAACCCCTCCCTCTGTTGACCAGTTCCGCCTACAGGAGCGGCACCGAGAACATCACCATGTGGGAGAGCGGTCTGTGCTGCTGTTGGTCAACATCGCGTAACACATTGTGGAAAATAACTAAAGGAAGAAAAACAATTCTGACATACTCATCTTTTTGGTAGGACGTCGTGAGGCGTCCCAGATGTGGGATCAGTTGTCGTCTACGATGATTCACTACACAGGATAAAACCATCATTTGTCCCGCCTCATGCCTTTTTTCATTTAATGAGCAGGAATCCATTCGTTGTCTTTGTTCACTGCGTTAGGTTTATTTTTTTATGTGATCATATTGGCGGCAACGTCTTGATGATGTTGTGTATTGTGATTTACTACTGATTTTTTTGTCTCACCCCTACAACTCTATTTAGTGCTAAACATTACTTTTAAAGCGTGGACAGCATGTGCAGCGAAGTGAAAATTTCAACCACTAGACGACAGCAGAAGTAGGATTGTCAACCTGTGTGACATGGCTCTTCAGAAAAGCGCTGAACCACAAAAGTAGGCCGTTTTACAGACAGAAATAAAATGTGTTTTCTGAACTGCACTGATCTCTCTGGAACCTCACTCGAATATGGACACAAGGCAAAAACAGTGGGATAGAAAATATTCTTCCAAGCATCTATCATAGCGCTACCAGTTCCCTTAAGGTGGCAGATTTTTTTTTTTTTTTTTTTTTTTAAATACAGCATCAAATAGCACTACAATAACATAGTGTAGTCACAGGACAGGACAGTCAACCCTGTGGTACACAGGAGCTTTTCCTAAACCTTGATTTTAGCGTACATCTTTTGGATTTTTACCTTCAAAATAGTAGATAAAGTAACATCTTTAAATGTTCAGTTAAAGTGCACCATAATGAGTTTTTGCTCACTATCAGTACATTCCAATAAAATAATTTTGTCTATATTTTTTTTTTTTCTGTACATTTATCTTAAATGCTACCATAAATTGAGAGCATGCTGCTGCCCTTACACCAAAGATTACTGCAAAACTGGCACAAAACCACCACATGACACCACGTCAGGAAAAGGACTTCAGTCACATAACTGTCAGAGCTGCAGAGTCTTGACCACAGCTAACACCTTCACAGAGCACTCGTCCTCCACTGGAATTGGAAAGACAGACCAGAAGATGGACAGTTCCGACTTGCTCAGTCCGAGCATTTTGTTTTGGTGTCTGACATAATTGTGGTCCCAATCGATCCTTTGGTCCGAAGGATTCTGGGCTTGAAGTGGCCTTGCTCCCATTCAAAGACTAAATAGAGGTGACTGGTTGGATGAGCAGCTGCTCCATCAGCAACAACCAGTGTCCGATTAGACTCCCTCTGTCCAAGTGCACCAATATTCATTAAATAAGCTTCACACAGATCTACACTCACACACATCTCACTTCGCCTGTCCAGAACAGGCGGGAACCTGCAGTCCAGAAGGGCAAAAGGGCTTCATCTTCACTTTCCTACTCGATCCCTCGCTGTGGACGGTTGGCGCAGCCTCTCTCACAGGCCCCAGTACGGAGCCAGGCTCCTGCGGTCCCTCTCATAAACATCTGGTATGACCCCATAGGGTGTCTGCACCATCTTAACAGAGTTTCTACCAAACAGCTTCCTCTCATACTCGATGAGCTGGCGCCAGAAGCCGCCATTGGGCCTAATGACAGGGCGGCGGGCTTTAACCCAGGCGTGGGCCTCAGCCAGAGACACGCGGTGATACTTCATGAGGTACGCCAGGCACAGAGAGGCTGAGCGGCTAACCCCCGCTGCGCAGTGCACAAGCACCGCCCCTCGTTTGCGTCCCACGCTGTGGATCTTATCAGCCACGCTGTCGAAGTACAAGGAGATGGGGGAGTGGGGCATATCCGCCAAAGGGACCTTTACGTACTCCATGTGAGGCCAGTTGAAGTTTGGGAGCTCGATGGTGGCGTTGACCACGCAGGTGATGCCTTTCGACAGCAGCAGGCTGCGGTTTGATGCCACGTTCCCCCTGCTGAGGAAGAGGTTGGGGGTGATTTGTGCGATGCCCCCCAGCAGGCTGCCGTTCTCAGGCAGGAGCCTCGGCACCGCAGTGGGCACCATGGAGCTGCGATGGTGGTGGTGGTGGTTGTGGAAGAAGCCTTGGCTGCGGGAACCCATTGAGGAATCAAGAGGGCTTCAAAAAGGACGGTGAATTGAAGAAAAAAGAAAAATCTTCAGCAGCTCAGAGTCATAGTAGTGAAGTGGGACCAGCCAGACAGCTCCTGTAACACAAACAGATTTCACTTTCAATCTAAATTAAACATTTTTCTATTTCAGTGGAGGCTGAACACTCAGGCTGACAAACATACAAACACTTCGCAAGGACGAGTAACATCACTGCTGTTTGCAAAGACTCCAAGACAAGGCTGCTATAATCCTTTTTTTGGATGGCAGTGTGATGAGGCGGTTGTTTCCAGGAAATGTTTCTTTCAGTCTGAGTCTGTCTTTAAACTTCAAAAGCCCAGGCAGACACAGCTGTTAAAGAGCCACAATAGTTGACTAATTTAAAAACACACTGCTATGAGGCTGCGACCCACTGATCCACTCTTCAAATTACAATTACATCTGAGGGTTTTCACGAATCCTCAGACAGATTCAGAGTGTTTATATGTGAGCTAGAGAGGCCGCTCTATCTCTACTGTTTGTGTCTCTATATTCTGGTCGAATGGCCTCCATGCTGCACACTGAGACGTGCCTCCCTCTGCCATGTGAGCACAGACCCCCTGGAGGCATACACTCACCTCATCTCATGTTCATCCATCCACAGCCCCCACATACAGATTACATCTCTCGTCTCTCTGGCTATTGCTGCTTTTAATGTCGTTTTGGATGGCAGCAAACGGCAGGGTGCAAAGTAACCATATACTGTATGAAACCTAAATGTGCTGATAGTACACTTCATTTAAGCACCAAATTTGCTAAAGTTTATTATTCTAATTCCATTTTCTTTTTCAAAAAAGGATGATAAAAATAACCTTCCTTATGAGCCGTAACCTGAACATGAAGATGCACGAGACATGACATGAAGAAAAAGATATTATAGGAACTCTAATGTGACATTTCTGGCTGTGCTGTATATGATGGAAATAGCCTCCTGTACTAATACTTAAGTTATCAGCAGAGAGCCCACAGCTCCAGGCGCTACTTCACACACTGTTGCACTTGTCGTGCGTCATCCACACCTTGTGCAGCAGTCTGGCCGGCAGGTCTTTTTCTTTCATGTTCAGCTACAGTCTGGTTAACAAGACACACGGGTCAACTGCTTTAAACTGGAATTCAACCAGCAGAAAAAAAACCACCTGATCACCTGCAAAGACAGCACGAGACAGACGGGGGATTCTTCTCATTGATTAAATTTAAATCAAAAAGTCGAGTGGAAAGATATGAATTTAAATACACCTGCATGACTGACAATACAATGAAACCGTGATGGCAGCTTTGGGATCCAATGATAAATTTCTATCGCATCATCCATTAACAGCCCCCTGCAATGAAGATCAAGTTTTTAACCTTGTTAACGTTTTTTTATATCATACAGGACATATCATGAGCAAAATAAGCTCCACTATATTTCCACCTTGGAACTGCAGTGAACAAATGACAGCCTCATTAAAAAAAACAGCTTCAGACAGCCAGGGATTAATATGTCACAAACCTAAGGAACCAATCCTGTCAACTTGCTCGGGATGTGGGGGCGGGAAAAAGAAACCCAAAACCTAGTGAGTACAGAGAGCGAGAGTTTACATCAGCACAACCACTAACAGTGTGTCAGCCACTGCCACTTGCAAGCTAATAAACAACATAAACAAATAAAAGATGCAAACTATGCTAACCGTTGTGGTATATCTGCTAGTTGCTGATTTTGGTCACAACAGACTCCTCATCTGAGTCTGAGTCTGACTGAAGCTCAGACATGCGGCTGAGTCTCTCTGATGTTTCCTCCACTACCCATCTTGCCACGCACTGCTCTTTCACCCGTCAACCTAACGCAAGCAGTGGTGGTGGGTGGGCCTGATCCAGAATTTAAAATATTTTACTTTTTATGTGGGAATATCATGTTAAACAAAAATATTAATAATAGCAGTATATTTTTGCATTCTTTAAATCTACAGTTCTCAACTTCAGTTTGGAGAACTACAGAGTGCTGTTAAGTCTGGTAAGACATATTCTTTAACAGGACAGGAATCAGAAAACTATTTCTGCTATACACAAAATGATGCATTTTTCCACACTTTCTTACTATGTAAAAAATTACTGGATAATTTAGCTTCTCCAGGCCTATAGGTCAGGTCATATTTATTTTAACGGGTCATGAGACTAAAATAATGGGAGCTACTGCATTAAATGTTACATCACAAGGGCCAAAATAAAAAAGCAACTGCTGTGAAACCTTTTATTTTTCCCTACAAGATATTCTCTACTAACATGAAACACACTTTTTCAAGGTTGTAACCCCAGTTTTAGTGGTTTTATTATCTAAAGTTTGCATAAAAATAGCAAAACAAGTGTCCAATACTAAAGCAAACGCTGTTTTTACAATACAATCTTCATATAGCCAAGGGTTGGAGCTGCCTTACATCATCATTACCTTCCAGCTGTAAAAAACCCTTTACTCCTATAGATCACAGCTTTGCCATCTCAGCATGGTCTGCTTCTCTTTCCCCCCCAAAAAAATAAAGGGATCAAAAGGCTAAAATAACACTCTCCTCCCTCCCCTGTTCAGTCTCTCTGGCTTGCTCCCAGTTGCCAGTCACCCTGCTCTTTGCCTCTGAAACCGTTGCCATGGTCGTGATCGAGCTGTGGTGCAGCTGATTCCACCTTCCTCCGCACTGTCACCATTGGTGATGATGAGACAACAAATACTGTCATCCTGACTCTGGAAATTGAGTGTTTACCCTCAAACCACATCAGGAGATGGTGAGTGATACATCAGAGCAGCACTGAGACACAGTGTGAATGACTTTTCTGTAAGAAGAATCAAGTAAATAATAACTAAGTAGGAAAAAACATGTCCCACACTGTTAGTCTGTGTGGTCCATTGTTGATGTGTTCAGGCATTTCACTCCATTGTCCAACTTAATTCAAGCTGAAACCATTAGTCAATTGATAGATAAGCCGATTAACAGAAAATGAATCTGGAATTATTTTAATATTGATTTAATCGATTGAAATCATTTTTCAACCATAAATATTAAAATCCTCTAGTTCCAGCTTCTCAGTTATGAAGATTTGCTGCTTTTCTTTAGCTTATGTGACAGTAAATTAATAATCTTTGGGTTTCGAACTGTGGGTTGGTCAAAAAACAAAAACAAGACAGAACACATAACATTGGCCTTACGGAAATTATAATTTAATAAGAGTGGAAATAACACACAGATAACTGTAGACTATAGTTCCCCTCTGCTCTGTGGAGCGTTTTAAAATCTTTCAGCTCATTGTTTTGGTTTTCCAGCACACAACTTAATTGTTTTGCTTCAGTCTCTCCTCAACAATCATGTTTCCAGATGCAGCAGGAAAAAACAGCTCTGATAAACTCAATGTAAACCTACTACACAGTAACCTGCCAAGCACATAGAATACAGTGGGTTTACAGCTTGTTGCACTGCCAACAAATGACCAAAAGTGAAATCAATGAGGTTCAACGTTTGTCATGTTGAAATGTAGCAATGAGTTGATTCAAGAGTTGACATATCGAGTTGATATATTATCACCATTTTCGAGGTTATTTTTCTGGCTCTACCGCAGGAAGATGACATCCCCATTCTTAATCCCACCTAACAAAGCTCTGATCTCAGTCTGCTCTGTCATTTTTTTTTCCAGTAGCCATCAATGAACACACCAGCAGACGTATGTGGGCAGCATTTCAGAGGTCTGAAACCAGGCAACAAATGTGAGATCTTGCTCTAATTATAAATGGGAAGACTCGGCTACTAAACAGACATCTTGCAACTAACAATTATTTTCAAAATTAGTAATTTATTTTCTTTAAATGTGATTAACTACTTTGTCTGAAAACAGCATAGATGTATAAATGTAGAAAAAGGTGCCTGCTATAATTTCTCTAAGGTCATCATAATTTATTCAAATTGCTTGTTTCCAAAATCCAAAAATATTCAGTTTACAATCAGATATGACAAAAAAGCATCAAATCATCTCATTTGAGAAGCAAACGTTTGGACAAATGACTAAAATAGTTGCTGATTAATCTTCTGCTGATCGATTAATTAACTAATTATTGCAGCTCTACTGGGACGCACAGTTGATGCATTAATGCATGGAGATAAACAACATATATACCATCAGCTGAGACATACAAACTCTGTTGCTGCAGCAACCTACTGACCAACAGTATAAGACAGTGGCAGCCACATCAGCAGGGAGATGAGGGCGATAAGAGAACCAAATAATCCCTGGCTCTCACCAAAGTGCTGATGTACCACAGATTTGCTCCATCCAAATGGTTATTTATACCCCAGGCTGGGCAGGAATGAGGTTGCAGAGAGCGGAGGAGGGAGAATTATGCAGAAGCTGTCGCCACAGAAAACTCTACTGTATGTCTGAGATACTGGGGATACTGCAGCTCACTGTCAATCAAATTTACTGTGAGAATTAATTCTTCAAAAAAAAAAAAAAACACAACAAAGAGGGTCAGTGGCATTTACGGGACAGTGTCCGAAGCACTGTGCTACAGAGTCACTACACATCCTGACTTATACTCAAGCAAATTTAGTGTCTGATGTTTCTTCTTCTTATACTGTATTCTTGTCGTCCCCCCCCCCCCCCCCCGCTCTCAATCATTTAGGGTGGATGTGTCAACAGGTGGTCCCACCTAACAAATCGTCTTACGCACATCTCTGTTACCCTCTCGGTGGGGAGATTCCTCAGGGGTCCGGTTACAGCTCCACTAATGCAAATTGGAAACGTGACCCAACTACAGGAAGGCTAAAGCGGCAACCTTGATGGTGAAACCTCAACGACACCGGATCATTTCTCGACTTGGTTAACGTCAAATTCCTGACTGACACTTCCTCGTGCCACAGAATGAGATTAATGAAATGAGTGAAAAAACTGTAAAAGAAGGTGCAAGCAGACATGCTCCTCTCAGCACCGTCTCTGAATCAAAGGCAATCCATTTATTCAGTCTGAGTGATTTCTGAAAGTGACTGCAGTCTAGATAATAATCAGGAGAGAATGAGGAGCAATGACAAGGACGGTGTTTTTGAAGCAGGACACGGCTTCTCAAATTCATCCAAACACAACTGGGTGCAGCTTCACAACCCACAAATGAAGCTGCTGCACACAAAGAACACTTTCATGTCAACTGCAGAGGGTTCAAAAGAGGGAGAGTCAGCATAGAGACAGAGGGACAAATTCCACATGAGGACATGAGGGTTCGGGTTTGGCACCTTGCTGCAACAGCAGCAGCTGGGTGCTGCTGACTCAGTCCCCAATGTTACACCTCTTACCATGTCGCACACTGACACATGTAAACAGTCAAAACGTGAGGGGCTGGGGTGAGACCACATGTCATGTAGAGCAACGTGGTGAGCGCACGTATGTGCTGCAGAGCAGAGAAAACACTGTGGTACATACAAACCATACATAAATAAGCCAAGTTTGTAACAAGTTATATTACTGTATCCATCACTACAGCAGACAGAAGAGACAGATAACTGGAGTGACTCTACTTTTAAACAAATGAAAAAATGACACCCTGATCAGAATCTAATGAGGAAGCCTTTTCATTATTCAAAACTGGTGCCACCAGCAGTGAACATCAAATTAGAGCTAAAATGATAAGTCGATTAATCGTTTAGACACTAGACACAAAGATAATCAGCAGCTATAAGTTGTTTATCATTTCAACCATTTTTCAAGCGAAAATGGTGAAAAATGCCATATATTCTCTGGTTCCATCTTCTCAAACCAGACACTTTTCTGATTAATTCATAATGAAGATAATCGTTAGTTGAAGCCCTGTTTCAAATAGAGATGAATCGAATAGTCGATTGACAAAAATTACCAAAAATCGTACTAGTTCTAGCTCATGTGAGAGTTAAAACAAGTAATAGATGACAAATTGGGACCCAAAAAATTCAATTTTCAAAAAATTTTTTTGGACATTTTATAGACAAAATAATCCATTAATTGAGAAGATCCCCAGCAGATTCAATAATAATGAAGATAAATGTCTTTTGCAGCCCTAATATCATATATATTATATTTTTCAGTCTAGGGAAATATGGATGACCAGGCCATTAATTTACAGCAGCCTACACATCCCTGTCCCATCCCTGAGGATATTTAACTGAGGGACTGTAGAAAAATGACTGAGCTGGTGGGAGGGTTTAAGTTTATATTTCACTTTTTAAAATTGCATGACCCTACCTAGCATTATTAACATTTAATTCTATCTTTGACTTAGCAAAAAACTGTAACCTCCTCCCCCCCAATATCTCCAAATATAGTATTACTATTAATAACTACAAAAAAGGTGACACATATGGAATCTGATATGCTGTACCGTAATGTAAACCTTAATATATTTATGGACTGAACCATTTTCACAATAGCTATCACTGCATAAATCTGGAGTGGAATCAACAATTTCAAAATGTATGGTAAAAATAGCAAAAAACTTGAATTATATCATAGATTAACTTCATTAGACAAACTTAACCCCTTTTGTTATGATGCAGAAGAAAGTGAAGGAGAAAATAACTTCTGGTAGGGATTAGCCTACATATAGTGTAATCTAAAAATAAATACCTGAAACAGAGTCAGGACTATTATGACCTGCTGTGCTGGTGAGAACCATTGTTTGAGACTATGATTCTCTTGTAATCCCACGAGAAAATGCTGAAATCTCAAAAATAAAAATAAATAAATAAATAAAAAGACAATCCTCCATTAAGCCCTCCCTTAATATATATAAATAATAATTTGTGTACAGTCCCTAAATCTTAAATCTAGAAATATCTTTGGTGTTTAAGAAACTTGAAATATATAAGATGGCTCTTCAATGAAAGAAAGTGTAACGCCTCCTCTCTCTTTCAGGGCTGGTGTGTGAAAATGTGGAGCTTTCAGTGAATGACTCCACAACTTTAATAATCTATGACTGAGCCGTGAAAGAGCACTGCTCCTCTGTCTGAAATTGATCATAATAAGTGTAAAACATAAATAAAATAGCCTAATGATAGGACTGTGTTTGCAAAAAACGACGACATTCAGCTTCATGCCTTGTTTAAAGGCGTCGGGAAGTGTGGCAGGTGCGCTCGTTTCTTCAATTCCACTCATGCTACAACATAAAACTGACCATAATAAACCCTGCAGGTAAACGCCTATAAAACATATTATTAAATATATCAATGCCTTGAGTGATTTTAAATTAAAAAAAAAAAACATCTTCTATGAAATCAAAATTCTGTCGATAAACTGCACCCATCAGATGTAAAACTCAACTTACCAGTCGACTCTCACTCGGGCAGAGATGGAGGTTTTCAAAGCGCCTTCACCACCTGCACCAATCCGGCGGACACAGATCCGCTGCTGTCACACTCCGGACATCTACCTTCAGTCAGTCCGATCATACAAACGGACAGGAGGCCAGCTGGTGGGAAACAAACCGAGACACGCAACAACATAATGTGAAAGTCACAGAAATACGAGCCATCAGTGCATCCGCCCGGCTCTACGGTGGCAGCAGCGGCGTGTACAGGGCAGCGCTGTCCTCGGTATGAGAAGTGATCAGTGCCACACAGAGGCGGAGGCAGGAGAGCATGTTGGATGAATGAGATGATTGTAGGCTGTTTTGTAAAGTTACTGAAACGTCTTATTTGACTTAATAAAGCCTAGGGTGAGGGAGTTTCTGAAACTATCTGACTTGTTGCTATAAAGCCTGCTTAACCAGACAGGCATTTGCATAACCGAGCAGTTAGCCTAAGCCTTTTCTCCTCTAAAACCAAAACATGGTGCAAGAAAACAGTGCTAATAAAGCATACATCTCATCTTTGTGTGGCTTGTCATATAAGCTCTCTGGTGATGTGCCAAGTCCTAATGGACTCACTACTGTCCCCTGTGGCTGGAGAGCAGAAAACACTGCTACTTCACTGTTGGTTATAACTGCAGTTGTAGTGGATGTAGTGGATTCACAGCAAAGCACAATTCCAGTGCTGTTGAAACATGAAGCACTGACATGTAGAAATTTAATGTGAGCTGTGTCCCAATTTCATGATTAGCTGTATACATGATTCAGTACAAACTAATCCAAACAAACTAATTGTTTGCTTCATACCTTTATTTCTGTTTACCAAGTCTGTAAGCCCTCTCACTGTACCCATTATCATAGCTAGTAAGCTAACAGCAGTAGTCTGCAATGTTGTAAATTATTCAGTGTTTTATCAGACATTTATTGTCAATAACATTTTTTTTTCTTTACAGACAATTTAATAGTGATTTGAAAGAAATTAAAGTCATGAGTGAGACTCTGCAGGCAGTTCTGCTTCAGCTTTTCATCTGGCATCAATCACTCCTCATACATAAACAGTGGGAGGATCAAGCACCTCCCCAGACCACAGTGCTGAAAACTACTGGTGAGATGCAACAGAACAAACAAACCTCTTGATAACAAGTGGAATCATCAAAACTGGACTGAAATGCAATTTTGATGGCTTTCATAATTCGGGTTCTTTCTAAGCAAGAGGATATTTATTTTCCTCAAAATGTTACTGATGCTTTTTCTCAGAGGTTACTGGAGCATAAAATGTAAAAGTCAGTTTATCAGCAGAGCTGTAGTCAGTCCAAATTCCCCCAGCTGAAACCCACCCGCTTAAATAATATCTGATTAGCTACCAACCAAACTCCGTAAAAAATTTTGGAGTATTTTTTTAAGAAATCACACAATTTTACAGTTTATTCATTCATTTAAAGGTTCGGTTATATTTTGTGTAAATTTAAAATCTTCTGACATTATGGTCACATTGGTCAAAACCTTTTCTACAATGGTAGGTCTGTTTATCTGGTGGATAATACTGAATCCCTTGAAATGTATTTAGTTTTTTTGATATCAAAATAGTCTAAACAAACCCAACATGTGTAATATGTGCAGAATCTTTAAATGTTTACTTTTTTCATGTAATTTGATCCCAAATTCCCAGAAATATAGAGGACATAATCTTGGTGTCCTTAAAAGTCCCATAGCTTTGATATCCATATGAATATATACAGTATTTGTGTTTTTAAGTAGATAGTGAAAACCATCTAAATGTAGTTTTACATCTCTCTCAGGCTTCTCTCTGGAGCTCTAGTAACAACGTGTCGGTGAGCCAATCAGAAGAGAGGAGGCTCTGAGCCTCTCTTCTGATTTGCTGACAGTTTTCTGAGTGATGGAATGGAAATATAACAGATTTCAGGTAAACACTCAGAGAAACCAAATCCTGCAAGGCTGGATGGTGGGTCCAGGTGGGCAGAGCTTAGGGCATGGCGGCGGTGACTACTTTGTTGTGACATCACAAAGTTAAGGAAGTACTGATGGCTCGTTTTGAGGAACAGTTTCTGAATACAGGCTGTGTGCATTTCTCTGTTGACTAAGCGCTTTGATACCTTCACCTGCTTTGTAATCAAAAAAGACATGGACATCTCACTTAATACAATATGGGACCTTTAACTATGGCCCTGCCCATCAGTTATATTATAGATTCTTCTTTGAAAAAATATGTTAAACATTTATTTTCTGATTGATTATACAGGAAATAAAATTATCTTTATAGAATTAGGTTCCAAAATTATGCAATGCACACCTACGATATATGGAAACTTTTGTAAGTAAAATAGCTGTAATGGTTTATTTAAATGGCCATGCATCACAGGCTGCAGTGTGTAATTTATCATCCGGGCAAGCTGTTTATAATTAAGACACTAAACCTCACTGACACTGCTGTGTTATAATTGCTAATAACACCTAAAGGTTTTTTTCTTAAAAATTACACCTTCTAGTGCACATGCAGCTGTACCATACAAGTGACTGGAGAGGAAGACCTGATACAGGAGCTTCAAACACAACGTGAACTGTTTATTTGAATGCCTGCAGAGACGTGTGTGATCATGTTGCAGGTCTTGAACTTATAAAACCCAGAGAGCAAACAGAGCCGAGTTGATGATGCAGTAAACAATGTAGGATCACGCTCCACAGTGGCTCAGGCAATATGTTTCCATTTCAGTACGCTGCTGACTTGAAATCTAATTTTATGCACTTGTTTAACACACACACACACGCACAAATGCACACATTACCAATTTAAATGTTGCCCCAGAATTGTGGCCTACAAGCATATGTATGAAAAACAAATATACTGTCTGTTCTTTAGGTCTGTCATTTCAAATCTCATTATGCCTTGCCTGGAAGAAAGAGCTCGATGTCCTCGCACAGCTCGAGTCAGTGGACATTTTGACCAACTATGGCTGCAAATCTGAGCCCTTTGAGTTTGCAGCTGCATCTGCAGGGCTTTCTGTGCAAGCCTTTAGTGAATATATCCGTGTACAAAACCATAATTAGACATGCCTTCCAAAGTCAATCCTATTTCAGAGGGCTCCTGGGGGAGATATTATGCTATCCATAAACCCATGGCCCCTGCCTCAGAGTCACTCCTAATTACATTCCAAATTCAATCAACTGGAAACAAACAGCAGCAGTACCAACTAAAAAAAACTGGTGCAAGGGTGACTGTTTCTGCACAGGAAAAAAAGACATGGGCTGACAGAGGGTGACACTTTTTTTTGACCCTGCACTTGAAATGCTATGCATCCTTTCATAGGATAAGTACAGAGGAGAGATAAGAGCTCGTGTTGATTGAAATTCACCTGATGAATGTTTAAAGAGATGAGGAAATGGTGACAGAAATGTCTTTGAACGGAAAGAGCAAGATGAAAAAAAAAAAAAAAAAAAAGGCATGACAGATGTTTAAGAAGTGCTAACCTTGAATTAGAACAGTGAAAAGCGAGGGAAAGATGGATAGAGAGATAGAGGGAGGAAGATAGAGCTGCAGGCTGCATAGACAGGGACTGGGGTTCAGACTGAAATGTCAGATGAGTCAGAGGCAGTCTGCGAAGATGCTCCTGTTTAATATGGCTCCACAGTCCGCCGTGGAGGCTGAAAATTTACAATGACACCATCACTGTAATAACAAGCACCTGCAGCCACGTTCTGAAGGAACTGTCTGCTCTGAATGAGCGGGTAGTGACATTGATTAACCCTGACCGCCTGTGACACAAGATAACTGATGGGCTTGACAGTGCGGAGGGGGCCACAGTGATTTAACCGTAAAATCCTTTGCACATCTCTCAAATGTGTGGACACTCAATAACCTGTGCTGTTCAGTTACAGCTACTTATTTACTCTTTCTGAGAACCAGCAGAGATCTGTCAATCCAAATAGTAAATTATGAGCGCAGTGATCCCGTTCAGGCCGCTGAAAATCATTCAGGGAGAATGCTGAAGATGACGGCGAATGCATTTTAGAGTCCTGGTGTGAGAGCTGAAGCGGAAAAACATGCGTGGTATGTGGAAATATTGGCACAAGCTGAGAGGGACCAGGCTGTCCCCAGGCATTTGTGCTGCTCCGTGTCTTTCAGGCAACATCCTTACTTTCTTCTCCTCACGGCATGAGGAAAGCTTCACGAGTCCAGCCTGAGGAGTGCACGATCAAAGCGTCAGCATATTATCAGAGTATCTGTGTCCTCTGCTAATAAGTTGATGAATGATTATCCCTGAGAAAGTAAACCAAAGTCTGTAAAGACATACTGTAAATCTGCGAGATGATCCCAGCAGTGCCTGTAACACTAGAGATGTTTATTTCTGTCTGTGCTGATGTGTGTGACCAGTGGGCCAGTGAGAGGTGGTAAGATGAGGAGAATGGAAAGTGTTTTGTGGTCAGCAGTGGTGGAGATGCTAGATCTGGAGTGCAGGAGGGGTGGGGGTGGTGGTTGGTGGGGTGGGGGGGTGGGGTCTAAATAAAGTTGCTGCTGAATCCACAGGCGCCCTCCCTTTTGCTCCAGCTGTGACAGCGGTAAATAGACATGGGATCTAAGTGTTTGCTGTGGCAACATGTGAGAGCAGCAAGGTGGCTGAGCGCAGCATGGAGCCTCCCTGTCACTCTGATCAGTGCTGCTCCGACATCAAACATACACATTTACTGCTGTGGAAAAGGAATGAGACCCGAGATCCCTCAGCAGCATCAGACACACATCCTGTTCATATCTATTCTTGAGGGAAAAAAAATACAGTGGAGATGTTGCATCTTTTTTTCCAATATTATGTCTTATTGAGTGCTGAATGCATTTACTTACTGTTTCTTTTTTTGAGTCAGTGAGAAAATGCACGTACACAGATGGGGGGTTGGGGTGTGTGTGTATTGGGGGGGGGGGGGGGGGGGGGGGGGGGGGGGGGGGGGAGGGGGGGGGGGGGGGGGGGGGGGGGGGGGGGGGGGGGGGCTACAGCAGACTTCAATTTTCTGTGCACTGCTCTGGTTAGTCACGACTCCTCTGCCCAGCAGATGAGCATGAGCAACAGGACGAGTGTGTGTGCGTGTTTGTGTGCGTGTGTGTGTGC